TATTGGGTCAGAAAGTGGAGGTGATGGTCGACTGTGGAGCATCCAACAATTTTGTGAGACCTGCCATCGTAGAGCAGTTGGGGTTAGCTGTAACAGAGGCGTCAGTGTATCAGGTAGAGGTGCGAAATGGCTATAAGGTGAAATGCCAAGGGGTGTGCAAGGTTGTGGAAATAAAGCTTCATGATGCTCGAATTAAACAATATTTGTATTTGTTTGAGCTGGGAGGAGATGACGTAGTCTTGGGGTTGGAATGGTTGACACAATTAGGAGACATCAGGGCGAATTTCAGAGACATGACTCTTCGGTTCGAACAGGATGGCAAAAAGGTACTGATTAGAGGAGACCCGACTCTTTCCCGTTTAGAGGTCTCTTTCGAGTCAATCATAAAAGCTTTGTAGGATCAGGGGGAAGGTTATTTTCTGAGCATAGAGAGGAACACTGGAGCAGTTGAGGGGAACTGTTGGGAAGGGTTAGAGGCATTGTTGTTTGAATATCAGGACTTGTTTCAGGCAGCTAGCTCCCTTCCACCAAAGAGATCCTGTGACCACGCCATCAACCTAAATCCGGGAAGTCAAGTGTCGTCTGTGCGACCATACAGGTACCCCCATTACCAGAAAACGGAGATAGAAAAATTAGTTGCTGAATTAATGGGCAACGGGTGGGTTAGGCACAGTACTAGTCCCTAATCTAGCCTAGTTATATTAGTAAAAAAAAAAAGATGGCAGCTGGCGAGTATATGTGGACTACAGAGCTTTAAACAAGCTCATCGTCCCAGACAAATTCCCAATTCCAGTGGTAGAGGAGCTGTTTGACGAATTGGGAGGGTCAAAAATCTTCTCCAAGCTGGATCTGAAATCTGGTTATCACCAGATCAGGATGAAGGAAGAAGACATTCCCAAAATCGCGTTTCGAACGCATGAGGGGCAGTACGAGTACTTGGTGATGCCTTTCGGTTTGACCAATGCACCTTCGACATTTCAAACCCTGATTAATGAGATCCTGCGACCCTTTCTGAGAAAGTTTGCTCTGGTTTTTCTAGACGATATCTTAATCTATAGTAAGTGTAAAGAACTGTAAAGAACCTTGGGATACACCATTCCAAAAGCTAGCTCTAAGGGTGAGAGTGTCCAAGGCCTTACAAACTCCACATGAGTTGCTCATACAACCAATGTGGGACTATATATCTCAACACGCCCCTCACACAAGAGCCCACTGGGCTTGATGGGTGGACGACATACAAGCCCACCTACATGTGGAAATTCCACTACAAAGAAAGTGGGAGGCGGTGAGATTTCGAACGCTCTGATACCACTTGTAAAGAACCTTGGGATACACCACCCCAAAAGCTAGCTCAAAGGGTGGGAGTGCCCAAGACCTTATAAACTCCACATTAGTTGCACATACAACCAATGTGGGACTATATATCTCAACAGTAAGCACAAGGAGGAGCACGAAATACATTTGAGGAGGGTCTTTGAGGTGCTACGTCAGCAGCAATTGGTGGTTAATAAAAAAAAAAATGTTGTTTTGGCAGTGACCATGTAGAGTATCTTGGGCATATTATCTCGGAAAAAGGAATAAGTGCTGATCCTAATAAGCTGAAGGCAATGGTAGATTGGCCTGTTCCAAAAATTGTGAAGTGGCTGAGGGGATTTCTGGGTTTGACTGGGTACTATCGACGGTTCGTTAGAGATTATGGCAAGATAGCAAAACCTCTAACGAACCTGCTGCAGAAGGATGGATTTCATTGGAATGCTGAAGCGGAGGTGGCATTTGAGCAAATGAAGACTTGTATGACTACTGTACCAGTCTTAGCATTGCCAGATTTTCACAAAACTTTTACGGTCAACTAATGCATCAGGTAAAGGTGTTGGGGCTGTCCTTATGCAGGATAATAAACCCGTAGCATATGTTAGCCAAGGGTTCTCCTCTCGGGCCCAAAATAAATTTGTATACGAAAAGGAGTTGATGGCGATTGTCTTTGCCATTCAGAAGTGGAAACACTATCTTATGGGGAGGCATTTCATAGTCAAGACTGATCAGAAAAGTTTGAAACACATGGTCACAGAAGGTGTTGGCTGAAGAACAACAAAGATGGGTTTCGAAATTAACAGGGTTTGATTTTGAAATTCATTACCAACCCTGACGGAAAAATCAGGTTGCGGATGCCCTCTCCCGTCAGATGCAGTTTGCTGCAATTTCCCGCGTGCAATTATTGGACTTTGAGGCATTAGAGCAGGAGGTACAGCAGGACAACAGATTAAAAACCATTGTGCAAGATCTGATTGCGAACCCAGTGGCCCATGAGGGGTTTGAGCTGAAGGAAGGGAGACTTTTCTACCGGAACAGATTGGTACTACCTAAAACTCTAGGCTTATTTCTCTTCTTCTCAAGGACTATCATGATTCGTGTTTGGGTGGGCATTCAGGTTATCTTCGGACCTATAAGAGGTTAGCTGGACTGGTATAATGGGAAGGGATGAAGCATTGTATCAAGGAGTATGTGGCTGCTTGCGCAGTGTGTCAGCAATGCAAAGCGCACAATCTCAGTCCAGCAGGGCTCATACAACCCCTGCCTATTCCCACTAGTGTGTGGTCAGATATCTCAATGGACTTTGTGGGGGGTCTTCCTAAAACATTGTGCGTTGAGTACGCCCATTTCTTTTTGATCAAGCACCCTTACACAACCAAGGAGGTTGCTAAATTGTTCATTAAAGAAGTGGTGAAGCTTCACGGTTTTCCTTTGACCATCGTTTGAGATAGTGACAGAGTTTTCCAAGTTCTTTTTGGGCTGAGTTATTCAAAAGTGTGGGAACCAAACTCAACTACAGCACCGCTTATCATCCGCAGTCCAATGGGCAGACGAAAGTAGTAAATACATGTTTAGAGGCTTACCTGCGATGTTTCTGCAGCTCCAAGCCTAGGCAGTGGCCTAATTGGGTCCATTGGGCTGAATTTTGGTACAACACAACATAGGAATGACTCCTTTTAAGGCTTTATATGGGAGAGACCCACCAACACTGTTTCGTTGTGGCAGTTTTGTCCCCTCTGTTGTTGCAGTTTCTCTATCTTTAGCTGAGAGGGATAGGATTTTACACGGTTTGCAGCAAAATCTGCTGCAAGCTCAAGACCATATGCGGTTTCATGCCAATCAGCGAAGAAGGGAGGTAAATTTCGCAGTGGGCGACTTGGTTTATCTCAGGTTACAGCCTTATCGTCTTAAGTCTATTGCTAGACGAATTAATGAGAAGTTAAGCCCACGTTATTATGGTCTGTATCCAATTGTGGAATGTATTGGTACAACAGCTTATAAAATTCAATTACCAGATGGTTGCAGGGTGCATCCAGTTTTTCATGTGTCTCCTTAAAAAAGCTACCTCTACAGTTCCTCAAGCCCAACCTTTACCTTTGGTTTTAACCGACGAGTGGGAGCTGCAGTTGGAGCCTGAATCACTACTACAATGGAGACATTCGAACACTGGTACGTTACAAGTTTTACTCAAATGGCAGCAGCTACCTGATTTTGAAAACTCTTGGGAAGATTACTAGCTCATCAATCGTCAATTTTCACATTTCCACCTTGAGGACAAGGTGCTTAAAATGGGAGGGAGTATTGATACGAACTAGCCCATTAAGGTGTACAGAAGAGATAAAAAGAGGGGAATTTGGGCTTCTAATGCAGAAGTAGGCCCACGGGAGGAAGTTGGGGTTTGTGTTGCAAATGCAAGAGATCCAAATGAAGGGGATAATGACCATGATGCCCTCTAACTGATTGCAAGAAAGGAAGAGCAAGTTGGTTACGAGAAGGTGGTTAAGAGGAGAGAAGGAGGGTGGTGGCAAGGCAGTTGGGAATAGAGTGGAAAAGGATCTTGGGAGAGAGTGGGACCTCTCAAACGTCTCACACTATCCGTCATTTACATTTCCTTTATCGTTAAGCAATTCTGAGTTCTTGTAATCGTCTACTTTGGGTTGTTAATTGTCTCTGTGGTGTAATAGTTTATGTAGTCATCTTTGAATTCCATCAATATAAACAAAACTCTGGTTTTCCAGAACCAAAACACTTGCCTCTCTGTGTTAATTTCTGTGGTTGGTTAAAAAAAACCTATCACACCACCCCCCTCCTCCTTGTTGACAAAGGGAGATGTAGCCCCTACAATCTTGTTGCGGGGCCTTTTCATCAGTATTAGTGCCACCTCACAGATACAGTAGTAAAGAGACAGAGAGGGAGATCCGCAGGCTAGATCGGAGAGAGGAGTTCACAAAGAGATGTTTGTGTGTGATTGTAGGAACAGGGGTGGTTGGACGCACCTCCACTCATGGCGCAATGGTGTCACGTGCTGCTTGTATGGAGAGACTTGGTGGACAAGCAATCCCGGGCGCACGACTACTTTGATGATGATGAGCATTTGGTTATAAGATGGTTGGCACCGACATTGATGGTGGTTGGGTTGGAGGAGGTAAAACACTGTAGATTTTAGACAGCTGCGGAGGAGAGTGAAACAAAATGGGCGGATGAAGAAGAATAAGGTTTCTCTTGCTAGGTTCTAGATACCATACTGAGAGAAAAAAGTTTTTGGAGAAAGTGAAACCGTAGTAATTAATGTACATAGAAAAAGGAAATAAGGAAACTATTCTGTTTCTAACATATATCTGCAGTGTTTACGTGAAAAATATATTTTATGCTAATATTAATAACTGATCATGAATCTTATTATTCACTACTTGGAAATAAGCCTTCCACTCCGCGATTCAATTCTCAATTTGATAACCATAGTTAGAAAAAGGATAACTATTTAATTGATACGAACTCAATCGTTAAAGGATTTTTTGTGGCAATATGATGCTCTTTACAATACCGCTTGTGTTGCTTGTAGTTTTGAAGCAAATATTTTCTTCCATTACTGATTCCTCTTTAAGAGAAGTTTTTGTTTCACTTGTTCTATCCCATAATACTTTGTGAATTGCTAATATTACTTATGGAGCGTCCTATGTGCATTTCAGAGAGTTCGCAAGTCTAGTTGATCGATCATGGAGGATGGAAATGGGTGGCAACCTTAGAGAGGAGTTTTTACCATTATAATTTATATTCATTGACTTGTTAATCAGCATGGGCTGTTACGAGGTTTGAATCTTAATCTGCAAGTGCTTAATGTATTTTCTACTGCACCTTGATGCTTAGACTGGAAATTTTCAAAAGAAAAAAGAAAGTAACTCTGCTTTACCAATTGTTAGAGATTAAATTTTTTAAAATAAACTATTCTTAGGCTATCACCTAATAGCTTAAGCTTATCGGACGTATGGTGTTTGAAATGGTATCAAGGCTTCTATGACCAGGTAATCTGGAGTTCACTCCATTTTTTCATAATTAAATTACAATTTCAGCATATACGTCAAGCCCAAGGCTCTTGTGTGGGGTAATTTTAGATGTACAAAATATATAATATACATATAAGAATCTTTGTGCTAGTGAGATCTCTAAATATTTTAACATATCAAAAGTAGATTATGCTTTTTCTATTTTAACCGGTCACCTATACAATCTTGTCATTTGGTCTACCAGAGGTTCAATTGTATGCCTCTTAAACTCTAGCGAGGGAGAATTTGCTAATGACCTGATGACAAATCCTGGATATCCATTCTGGTGGTTATTGATTCATATCTTTTGTTGTAGGCTACTTGTTCATTTTCATCTGTCTTCTACTCTTCTATGATTCAATTAAAAGAAGTGTTTTATGAAGTTTAACTGCAGACATAACTGTGGTGGAAGAATTCCTTAATTAGGATTGGTCTTGCTTGAGTTGTGATGCAAGAATGATTCTCAAGGATTCATAAGAAACTAGTAAAAGTAACCAAAATATGTCTACTTATTTGGAAGCTTTCATGAAACAGTTTTATTGGATGCATCATAACATTCCACTCAAAAGTACACACATAACATGTTCATATTATCAAATACTAGTTTTTGACAAGTCTCTCTTATAGAGGCTCAATTCATTAACACCTTCATACAGTTTAATTTGCTACAGCTCCAGCACCAAGTCTACAAAGCCAACAATTATAAACAAGTCAAAATACATAAATATAATCTAATTATAATGCAATCATGTTAATATTATGGTGTTTCATGATATCTTAGTTTGTATTGAAATCTAGAAACCTGCTGAGGATTTAGTTTGAGATGTCTTATGTTGCATCTTTAATGAAATTCAACATGAGTCAAGTTGATTTATGTTTTAAGGAAAATATGATTTTGCTCAAAACGTTTTATTTTTCTAAACCCCCTGTTTGCTCTCTATTTTGAAAGGAAGATATCTGGAAACAGTCCAAGTAACCCAATCCCTTCTTGCTTCTTGCCACTGGAACCAATTCAAGGCCTTTCCGTTCCAGCAAGATCTTCTTATCCTCTGGAATTTGATAAATCTTGAAATATCACTCAGCCTGTATATTCATCCATGGGGATTCTCACCAGAGATGTAAGGTACCTCCAACCTTCTCTATGATTCCTTACTCCCCTAAATCCTCAACACCGTTGCGTCCTCTTCCCGTCTTGTACATTCATCTCCTTATTAATCTCTTCTGCTACACATATGCCTCAAAGCTGCTCCAACTTATGATTGATGGATTCCTAATGCTCTTGTCGAATAACCTCCATCAGCCTTTCCACAACTTCAAGTCTATTCTCCATTCTTGTTGAGACTCGAGTCAAGACCATCCAAGCTCCCCAGGATTGGGAGCTATAATACCAGCTTGATAGGAACTGGTATTAATGCTGAAAATATGATGGAACTCAAGGAGGAAATATCCTTTACCAGAGAAAAATATACTACTCAAAAAATATACTACTCAGTGAACAGATACTGAGTAGAGGAAATGTAGTAAAAGAGAATATGTGAGAGCAGTCCCTAACCAAACCCGCCATAGCACTCTCCAAAATTCTATTATGCCTCACCACTATTTCCCACCCTCTCCTTATTCATATTTCCTTTTTCTCTCCCATCATTGCACAATTCTCCTCTCCAATACCTTGCTGCACCATTTACAATTCTGTTACACTCCCGCCATTGTTTCCTCCTTACTCCTAGCTGCATTCCTATCTCTACTCTTATAGACACAAAATTTCCCTTGCTCCAACACTCGCCAGCTCATAGACTAGAAAAGAATATTTGTATAGTATTGAATTGTATAATATTTGTACAAGAGTTCTCTATTTAAAGAGACTAAAAAACCTAATGGGCTAAGCCCAAATACACACAGAGTATTCTAACTATTACAAAATAATAATAAAATAATTCTAATATTTACAATACTCCCCCTCAAGCTGAGGAATGGATATTTATCATTCCCAACTTGGTAGTAAGTTCTTGAAATCTATCATTAGGAAGACCCTTAGTTAAGACATCAGCCAATTAACGACCAGAAGGAATATATGAAGTAGTGATCAATCCACTGTCTAATTTCTCTTTAATGAAGTGGCAATCAATCTCAATATGTTTAGTTCGATCGTGTTGAACTGGATTGTGGGCTATACAGATAGCTGACTTGTTATCACAAAGTAACTTTATAGATCCTTCATTATCTCACCTTGAGATTATTGAGAATGATTTTCAGCCATAATAACTCACAGATACCTTGAGCCATAGCGCAAAATTCTGCTTATGCACTTGATCTAGTAACCACATTTTGCTTTTTACTTCTCCATGTTATAAGGTTTCCATAGAGAAACATACAATAGCCCGAAGTAGACCGTCGGTCAGTCACGGATCCAGCATAATCAACGTCTGTATAAACTTCTAAGGATAGGTTTCCTCTTCTCTGGAACAATAGTCCTCTACCTGGCGTGCATTTCAGATATTGGAGAATCCTGTCCACAGCTCGCAAGTGTTTCTCCCTCGGATCATGCATAAATTGACTAATAACACTAACTGCATAAGCTAGATCAGGTCTAGTATGAGCTAGATATATCAATCTTCCCACTATTCGTTGATATTGTCCTTTGTCAATTGGAGTGATTCTGTTCAACCGGAGTACTTGAATGTTTACACCCAAGTTTTCCTCCTTCTTTAAGGAGGTCAAGGACATACTTCCTTTGACAAATAAATATCCCTTGCTTTGAATGAGTAACTTCTATTCTAAGAAAATATCTCAGTTTTCCAATATCTTTAATTTCAAATTCAGCAGTCAGTCTTTTTTTTAGAGCACATTTCTCACATATATCATCCCCTGTTATAATAATGTCATCAACATAAACTAAAAGGATACTGGTCTTACCTTCCTGAGAATGTTTAAAGAAAAGTGTATGATCTCTTTGGCTTTGGTTGTATCCCAATGAAAGCATGACTTTGATAAATCTTCCAAACCAAGCACGCGGGGATTGCTTCAAGCCATACAACGCCTTCTTTAACCTGCAAACTTTATTATCTCCATTCGTAGAGTTAAATACTAGTAGAATCTCCATGTAAACCTCCTCTTCTAATTCATCATTGAGGTAGGCATTTTTCACATCAAATTGATTCAAATCCCAACTAAAATGAGCATCGAGGGACAATAGAACTCTTACAATGTTCATTTTGGCCACTGGAGCAAATGTTTCTTCATAATCAATGCCATAGGTCTGTGTGTAACCCTTGGCTACCAATCGAGCTTTATACCTCTCAAGAGTCCCCTCAGAATTATACTTCGGAGTATACACCCATCTGCACCCTACTGTCCCTTTTCCATTTGGCCTGCCAACAACTTCCCATGTATTATTCTTCTCCAATGCATTCATTTCCTCATGCATGTCTTGAACCCAATCATCATCCTTTAATGCTTCATGTACTGATTTCGGGATTGAAATTGAGTCAAGTGCTATAATAAAATTTCTATGCTGCATAGAGAGATTCTTAGAGGAGACAAAATGAGAAATAGGGTGTTGGGTACAAGACCTTTTCCCTTTTCTTACAGCAATGGGTAAGTCATCAGAATTAATATCAGGCTCAGGAATAAAAGAAGTACTGTGTTCAGTACTTACCAGCGGTTTAGGCGATTGCAGTTGCTGGTGGGGCAATGTGGGTTGTGTCTTCCTTTGGTACAATAGTTCAGGTGTCCCAGCTTTGCGTACTTTCTGTCTATCAATAGGAGGCATGTCACATGAGGAATCAGATGAATTTTCAGTCTCAGCAATTAAGTCTTCCTTCTCATTGTCATGTAGTGTAACTACTGGAGTAGAAGATGTAGGTAATAGAAAGGGAGACTCAGACTCGAAGAAAATGGATGAAGCTTCTATACTATTCTCCCCCTGAAGCTGAGGGTGTAGAAAGTAAGACTCAGATTCATGGAAGCTAACATCCATAGAGACAGAATTTACGACTTGGAGGGTGGTAACATTTGTATCCTTTCTTGTTAGGAGCATAACCAAGGAAGACAGACTTAAGGGCTCTAGGCTCTAATTTACTCCGATGTTGTTTATGGATATGGATGAAGGCAACACATCCAAGGATACGAGACTGCAGACTTTGCATAATTGGAACAGAAGGAAAAAAAGAGGTAATGAGATCAACATGACTTATATGGCCAAGGACTCTGGAAGGCAGGCGGTTGATCAAATAGGTTGCAGTTAATAAGGCTTCTCCCCAGTAAGAGTTAGGTACAAATGTCTAAAACAATAATGCTCTGGTGACTTCAAGCAAATGTCGATTTTTTTTCCAGCAACCCCATTCTGTTGAAGGGTATCCACGCATGTGAGCTCATGAATCATACCCTTATCTGAAACGAATTGTGACAGACGCTGGTTGACATACTCCGTACCATTGTCAGATCTTAATCGCTTAATACTTTTACCAATTAGTGTCTCGATCATTTGATAAAATCGAATAAACAATTCTGGTACTTCTGACTTGTCTTTCATCAAGAATATCCATGTCACCCGAGTGCAATCATCAATAAAAGAAACAAATCACCTAGCACCTGAAATATTATGTACTTTAGAAGGGCCCCAAATATTCGAATGGATAAGAGTAAAGGGCTCAATACTCTATAAGTGTATTTGGGCTTAGTCCATTAGGTTTTTTAGTCTCTTTAAATAGTGAACTCTTGTACAAATATTATACAATTCAATAATATACAAATCTTCTTTTCTAGTTGGTATCAGAGCCTCGGTGTACCGGGTTTGATCCTCACCACCCTCCACTTTCTTTCTAGTGGAATTTCTTTCTTCGCACAGGTAGGTGGGCTTGTGTATTGTCCACTCTTCAAGCCCAGTGGGCTCTCGTGTAAGAGGGCGTGTTGAGATATATAAAACCATTAATGTAGCCTTACCCAAAAGCTTAAGCTTTTGGGTTGAATTGGTTCTTTACACATGGCATTCCGTTATTTTGGTACTTTATATTGTATACTCTGTGCTGTTGATATAAGACTTTATGAATACTTAAAATGATGCCAACGGAAGATATTTATCAAATTTTTGTGTGTGAGGAATTGCATTCTAGAAATATATAGTACTTACATTCTGCATCTGTTTTGATCCAGTGCTCATTGTTTCCGGTGCAACTTAGCCCATTTTGTGGTGGGTTCCAGTTGGTCTTACAGTGTTGGGACCACTTTCTTGATTTGGTATCTGTATGAGATCTTCTGCCTTTGTCTGGGTTTGTGGGGTCTCCATTATAATATTCATGGCAGCAGTCATGAGGAACATTTTTTATCTTAGCTTTGTGGGATTTAATAAAATCTTTTGCATTTATGGTGTTTTCAGGATAGACTTTTCTGTGAAATATACGTAGAACCTGCATATCCAGAAGAATAAAACAAACAATTTATTAAAGGGAAAAATGTGTATCATTCTAAAGGATGTAAAGTTGTGCATTTTAAGTGAGAGAAAGAGATAGATAAAGGGGAGAGAGAGTGAACAAAAAAAAAATAAAGGTGTGGGTTCCACCTCTTTGTGAGAGTGAAATGACACAAGTTATGTTATTTAAAAGGACAAACACTTTTCCTTTTATTAAAATATCATAGCTTTATTTAGTATACATTCAAGACATTTATACTGAAAATGTGGTTTTGTTTTATTTTGACAAATAAACTTATTCTCCCAGATTTTGAGACTTTCCAAATCTAGTGATGCATAATAGATTAGGATTGTTTGGGTTATTTTTAATTTATGGATTTGATTATAAATATGTTGTTTAGGATTTTGATATCTTTCCTTATCTTTATGGATTTTATCTTTGATAAGATATGTTTTAAGGAAATCTATATTTTATTAAGATTATGCGTTTAATTATGTTTAACTAAGATTTCCATTATTTTTGGGGTCTAAACGCGCTTAGGCGCTATATGTAATTTATACTTTTTGCATAATGGATAATTGATATTTCCATTTTTCGCAGAGTGTCCAAGACTTTAGTCGGAAGAGTACTACGTTCTAGAGGACTCTTGAATTGTCCTACATCAAATTTGGCATCAGGGACAAATTTGACTCTGCTATGCGCCCCATTCGTTGCTTTGGCTTTCCGTCCCACTGTCTCGTTTTGTTCCCTGTCTTTTTTTTTTAATGCTCTTCCCAAACTTCAAGATTTCTTTATTGCTCATCTTGCTTACACTCTTTGGATGAGTATAATATATTTAACTCTCCAAAGGTGAGTTATTCTAGAGGGAGAGAATGATGCATAATAGATTAGGATTTTATGTTAATTTTAATTTATGGATTTGATGATAATTATATTATTTTTGATTTTGAAATATTTCTTATCTTTAGGGATTTTATCTTTGATGAGATATGTTTTAAGGATTTGATGTTAATTTTATTAAGATTATGTATCTAATTATGACTTATCTAGAATTCTTATTTATCTAGGATTTTTATTATTTTTGGGTTATAGTAATTCAGACTTTTGCATACTTGACAATTGGTATTTCCTTTATTTAGAAAGTATATATGAGACTCAAATCAAAGGAATTCTCCAGCCTAGAGGAGCACCCAAGGTTTATGGGGGAGTAACTTGCTGAGAGGAATACAGTTGAAAAAAGAGATGGTGTTATTGATAAAATTGTATATTACATCTGTACAATTGCTCTCTATTTAAAGAGACTAAATAACCTAATGGGTTAAGCCCAAAGAAGATTCTAGAATGAAAATAAATAAACAAATACTATTATTTACAACACTCCCCCTCAAGCTGAGGAATAGATATTTATCATTCCCAGCTTGCTAGTAAGCTCTTGAAACCTTTCTGAGGGAAGTCCCTTTGTTAGAATATCAGCTAATTGACGTCCAGAAGGGATGTATGGAGTGGTGATCAACCCGCTATCAAGCTTCTCTTTGATAAAATGGCGGTCGACCTCAATGTGCTTAGTCCGATCATGTTGAACTGGATTATGAGCTATACAAATGGAGGACTTATTATCACAAAATAACTTCATAGGTCCTTCACATCTTATTTTAAGATCACCAAGTATAATTCTCAACCACAATAGTTCACAAACGCCTTGAGCCATAGCTTGAAATTCAGCCTCAGCACTCGATCTGGCAACCACGTCCTGCTTCTTACTCCTCCATGTCACTAGGTCACCACAAAGAAACATACAATAACCAGTTGTAGATCGACGATCAGTTACGGATCCAGCATAATCAGCATCAGTATAAACTTCTAAAGAGAGATTGCCATTACGCCGGAACAACAGTCCTTTACCAGGAGTGCCTTTAAGATATTGAAGAATTCTCTCCACTGCCTGCATGTGTTTTTCTTTTGGATTATATAATCCCACATTAGTTGTATGTGCAACTAATGTGGAGTTTATAAGGCCTTGGGCACTCCCACCCTTTGAGCTAGCTTTTGGGGTGGTCTATCTCAAGGTTCTTTACATGGTATCAGAGCCTCGCCGCCCCCCACTTTCTCTTGTGGACTTTCTTAGCACAGGTAGGTTGGGCCTGTTGCATCTTCCACTCTTCAAGCCCAATGGCTCTCGTGTGGAGCTAGCTTTTGGGGTGGTGACCTCAAGGTTTTTAACATGGTATCAGAGCTTGAGGTTCGATCCTCACCGCCCCCCACTTTAAAGTGGAAGCACAAAAAGGTAAACCAAAGATTGGGCCTGTTGCATAATCCACGCTTCAAGCAAGAGGGCTCTTGCGTGAGGGGGTGTGTTGAGATATATAGTCCCACATTGGTTGAAGAGCAACTAATGTGGAGTTTATAAGGTCTTGGGCACTCCCACCTTTTGAGCTAGCTTTTGGGGTGGTGTATCCCAAGGTTCTTTACAAATACTCTTGATTTACCAGTCAAGGGAATACCCTGTCAAGAGGCGTACTCTTGAATTTTTCTACATCACCTGAAGTGACATTTGGCACATTACCTATCGTTACTTTTTTTTTTTTTTGGGTACAAATATAGTTACAGTTTTGTTGATTTTGTTGAATGTCTGAATGGAATTTGTCTTTAGGCGTGCTTTACAAATTGTAAATGTTGATATGGTGATTTTCTTTTGATTATCCTCTATGTACGGCGTTTTACTTTATTCTCAATGAAAATAAGCAACTAGTAAATTCATGCTATTGTCTTATTGATAATTCTTGGCTATAAATCTGAGAATTAGATGATTCACTCAATCTGGTTTTGTAGGTTGTGTTTGGTATCCTTTTTCTTTCATTATATTTCTAGTGTGACTAAAGGAATGAACATGCATTTCGATATTAATTGACTATTTGTGTTTAAGAAACAAAGGCAAAGGGTGATGAGAACAACCATGGGATTTGTTGTTAAAGGTGGTGCAAAAGATTTAGTAAGAGACTAACCTTATGGAGCTTTTTATTGGTTGAAGCAGAATCAGCATCATCCCCAGGAATTTTACAGCTTTTGGATGAACTGTGGACCTTTTTCAACATCTTTCGCATAATATGCATGGCAGACTTATGCGTTTGCTTGACTTGTGTCTCTCCTCTAACTCCTGTCTCTATGCAGTCTTGACTGGTTGTCTTTGTCCTATGAAATAGCTCAGCAAGTGATGCCCTCTCTTTCCTCACTTCTGTTGTCTCTGGCAGTTCAAGTGGTGACCCTAATAAATATCCTTGCAGTGGACACACAGCTTTGTTTCCATAATCTTCAGCTATGGGTCCGTCTATTTGTTTGCCACTAAATGTAATAGAGCTAACATGGCTGTTTCTTCCTGATGATTCATAGAAAATTTCTTCTTTTTCTGCCTCAAGGAATTTCTCAAGCTCATAACTTATGAGCTTTAGTTCATTCTCTGTCACCTCTGCATTTCTCATAGTTATGTTTTCCAAAGGCATGGCAAATGTTGGTGTTGCAGGCTCATTGTTGACTGTTTCTGCACCAAGAGTTCCAATTGTCAGAAAGCCTTCAAAGAGCTCTGAGATGACTGCAGGTGTTTCTTCTTGGGACTTATCTTCTTCTGTGTTGTCATCAAACCCAGAATAAGATGTTTGACTTTCCTGATGGTGTGGCTTTAATAAACTGGATTGACTTATGGAGCTGAAGCTTGGCTTTGTCTGGGTGTATTGGTTGTCAAGTGTTGGCTGCACCGTAAGGCAAGTACAAAGGTTTCCTGAAATTGGAGTTCCAAAAGAAATTAGTGAATTGGTGAAATTAGCAACTAAAGATATATCTACAATCTAAATAACTTTGTGAAACATATTGATTTCTTTTTATTGATCTCCTTGTACTCTGTAAATTGAAATACAGAGCATGGAAAAGCAGCGTAATAATCAGATGAGATAAATGTGGTCCCTGAGAGTGATATAACTGCAATGTTTTATGTGCAGTAGGTTAGTGCTTGCAACTAACCTTTCAAAGTGGGATGCATATGTTTCAAGCACAATAGTGGTCATGATCTGCTTAAAAATCCTAATATGCAAGACACTTTTTTTTTTAATTAGCCAAAGTCTTGTAATGTTTTGGTTAGATTATTGTTCATACACACTGATGCACCTCAGAAAAATCAATGTAGTACATGTTATTGTGCTATTGCATTGATCAACAGTAACCGGTTCAATCAAACAATTTAGTTGTGTCAAGGCATGAATGATGATGGTTTTTAGCCTTCACTGAATAACTTAAAATCCCTTTACGTTGCCCACCCCCCTTTCCCCTTTTACTCACTCACTCCCATGAAGAAAAAGGAAGAGAAAAATTAGAGGAAAAGAAATAAGGATAATAGGGTCAGCTTAATACCAAGTGTGAAATCCTTGGAAGTATCAATACTACTCTGCTGAAGTTTTCGATGCACCCATTGAAATAACTGCAAGAAGTAAAGGTGGGGATGAAGCCAAAGGACTAGAAGAAATTTTTCATAATAAATACAGAGTTTAGACTTACCTTCATTTTTATCTCTTTTCGTGCTGTTTGTTAACCAATGTTTTCTTAGTTAACAGATTATGCTGGTGGATATAAATATGCAAGGAAAAAGGTCTCTAGGATTGGGAGTTTATGATTGGTAAAGTGAAAAAGCACAAAGATCTTTTCCTTGTGACTCAATGAGTTGGAAGTAGGTAGGTGCCAGAAGGGTCTAAGATAGATATGTGCATAGAGAAAAACAATTAGATATATACAACAATGTGGTTGGCTATTCTTTTCGAAATCTAATCGGGTGGGCAAATTGGGGGGGGGGGGGGGGGGGGGGGGATGTGTACCAAGTAGTATCTATTTGTAGATATTTTTGTGTATCTGAACTTTCAAGGAGTTAGATCACACACGTATTTAAATCCATAGCCTTTGATCCAAGGCATGCCAACAGTGCATTCAGATACCAAAGCACTGTCAATTTTGAAAGATGAAGCTGTGCATATCAATTGCTAAAGCACTGTCACAGCTTAGCAGAAAGGAATACATCTATTGAATGTTTATGGTTACAAATGTAAATATATTATTACTCATTAGGGATCGCAGAAGCAATTGCTGAAATTCTAAATTTTGCAATAGGATGTGCTTTTGGTGACACGCTATTTGTTGGAAAGATTGCTGTTTAATTCAGAATCCCCTCTTCTATTAAACAGTAAATACTTTTATATTCTGTGTGCGAGTGCAAACAATATTTCTGTGAGTATTAGCTGTAACTGGTTATTTAGCAAGTTTAGCTTATAAAGTCCATATTCCCTGTGTTTCAAATTGTTTGACTGTTATGTGAACGTTGAGAACTTGCTTAGACACGTCTAATGTTAATTAAAATTACAATGGTAGACCTGATACTGTGCAGGGAGTTTTGGATATGCTTAAAGCATTCAGAAAATCTTTTCTCATGATGGATATACCTGAAAGTTTTTTTGCTAATATATTAACGTACTTATAATTAAGAGGGTGAGTCTGTACCAATAGTAAAGTTGTTATTTTGTGACCGAAAAGTCACAGGTTCGAATTTGGGAAACATCTTTGTAAATATGCAAGGATAAGTTTGCGTACGAGGATTGCTTTCATCCCTACCCTCGCTAGTCAGGGTTTTTTTATTATATATTTATGTATTTATAATTGTATTAATTATTATTATTTTATTGATAGGTAAAGAAGGGGGTTAGGTGTCCAAGTGGTGGATCAGTGTTACACATCATTATCACATCTAGATACCGAGACCAATGACAGTTGAGCTACAAGCTCTTTGACTATAATTATGTTAATTTTGGATTGTTACAAGGGAAATAAACATCTCCTGTTTATAGGAAATATTTCCTTCTCCTGTTGTGTCACCCCTAAAAGTGTGCCTTAATTTTTTTTTTCTTCTAACTGGCGGGCCCTACTAATAACTACTCTATGCAGGAAACTTTTAACTTCTCCTGCTACTATATGCCCTTGTTATAAACGCTGTTTGTGATGCCTATGGTAATTATTAGCTAAAGCTCTTCTTACCTTTTCAGTTCCCCATACTTCCACAGAAGCACTTGCAGACTGATTAAAAGTGAAGATTGAGTCTTCTATCTCTTTTGATAAAAGAAAATTAATATCAGTGTGATTACCATGTCATTTTAAGAGATCATCGTTTTGGTCCTACTCCCATCCTTCTACCCATGCAATTTTACACTGGAGAACGAGGGCATCGAAGGGATGTTAAACCCTGTCCCGGCACTTTGAAATGACTTGACTTGACTTGTTGCATCTTTTTAAATCAAGGGAGCAATTCTCTTTACGATTATATCTGAGCCATTTTTCTTTGCAATTGTGCCTTCTGAACTACCTTTATTGATGTAGAGCATGTTGCAGAGATAATTTCAGTGGCTATTCCTGAAAGATCAACATCGTACCAAGAAAATGATTGGAGTCATGTGTCCAGGGGAAACTGTAGTAAAGCTCATGGGTGAAAACTACTAAGCATTTCTCATTTGTGTGCCATTCGTTTGTGTTGCAGTGAGTACTTTTTTGGTCTTTACTTGTTGGAACGGTGACAAATAATTGTTGCAGCCCATTTTACTTCAGGTTTAGCCATGAAGGACTGCTTACCTAAACATGCTTAACCTTTTGTTCCTTCATACATGGTTATTTGTAAGTGAATCAAATTCTTGTTATTAGCTCAATATATTGAACATACTTATATTTAATCAACTTCTGAATTAGAACACATCTTTGGTTCAAGCCGGACCTTTCTTTCTAGTCAGTTTTTGAGGCATAAACCTATAATTTTAGGTAAATAGAAGTTTAAATTGCTCCTGTACAATCAACCATGAGTTGAATTATTATCAGTCAAGTACTATTGCCCAACTGTCAATGGGTTTTTCCAATTATATTATACTTTTGATTGGTTGATAAAAAGTATACTGCGTCAGCAGTATTCTAGCAAATCAACTGCATTTGTTTGTCATATACTAACCTGCTTCTCAGGAATATAGACGCTCACATCTAACTTAGCTTTTTGTGCTTGTTTTTTTTTTTTTTTCTTCAAGTGGTTAAACTTGACCACTATTTTTTTGCTTACTTTGCAAGTGGAGCAACGCGTAGCACTTAATCATCAATGGGGGCGTTTCCATTTAAGAAACAATATATTGGCATCACGACACTAATACACTATGTTTCAACAGGGGAATGTGTCTCTAGTCCTAGACCCAATAATTGCAAGGGGATAGGCATACCCGATTCGTGCAAATTCCTCCAATGAGCTCAACCTTGGCATCTTCATTTTTAGCTAGACGCCGAGCAGATGTCAAACATGGAAGTTGCCGCGTTTTGAGGATTAAGATGATTTGGTAGTAAGGACAAAGCCAGGTCATAGTCATTCAAATGTTGTAACCAAAACAAACACTAGGTCTTCAGAGTTATGGGTCACTTCGGGGTCAGTGCAGTATACAGGTGAGGCCCATGTCAAGGATAGATGGTGACCATGTGAATTCCAGGAGGTTAATGAATTTGGATATGGTTGACCCTTGTCATTTGACAACATGGTTAGACTCAATCTCTTCCCATAATCCCTGAATAGTAACCTTTTCTTTTCCAGTTACAAGTTTTCTTCACCCCAAGAATATGGAACTAATTCTTGCTCCTGATACTAAGGCTTTGAATGTGAATTAATTCTTGCTAAAAATAGTATGGTTGTTCCTTGCCAGTGTTAGTGACTTTACTCTCATCGTACATTACTGTGGCAGAAAAGTACTATGAATCCTATTAAATTGAATCTTTTGACACTAATTGAATTGTTGCTTATCACTGTAAACCAGATAGCACGAGCATGATACATGGTTAGTGGTTTCTCCTTGTTACAACTTCAATGTTGCCAAGTTTGTTTATCAGCTTATTTCCATAGTAAAAAATAAAACTTTCAAGAAAAAACTTTTGGTTTTATTCTTTTTAAAATACAAATTAAATTAATATAAACATACATAAAGCTTAATTTGTGACTAAAACCATAGCTCTTGATTTGTATTTGACTTGTTTACTATTTCTTGCAATGATGATTTGCTGGGGCTGTTAGCCTTGCACTTTATACTGTTATGTTTCACTTGCTTTCCGAAAGAAAAAAAATATAGGGGTCTGTAAGCGGCGTACATAATTCATGGTAGCAATTATTAGAGATAATTCTTATTTTATTTTTTTAATTCAATTTTTTATAAGAGATATTTTATTTTAAAATAAAGACATGGCACAAACTTTATCACAAATTTATAATGATATTTATAAATAAGCTAATGTCAAGATAGTATGCTTTCAAAAAATAATTATTCTAGATACTAGTGAAGCAGAATTTGATGACTTTACTAGTGAGGATAAGCTTCTGTGCATGATGATGCTGACGTGAAAATTATGGGTTTCTAATTGAGGGAAATAAATTATTTCACAACCCCTTTTTGCAAGATCAATAGGAGCAAAGAAATCAGATTCATATTCTGCAACACCGCCTTGCTACTAGATGCGAAATTAGGCATCCTTCCTTTTGAAAGTTCCATACCATATTCCAACCAGTAGGTCTTAATCTTTGATAAGCATTCAATGCGGCCCACGCCTTTTATATTTTATTAAGCCCATAAAGTTTCCTAAACTTTTTCCTATATTGAGAAGTTGTTTTGGATGGCTGCTTTCTGAACGGATAATTTATTTCGTTTTTCCAATAGTGCTTCAAACGCAAAAGATGAAAAAAGAAAAGCACTTGGGTTATGCTAATGGTAAGAGGCTTAAATAATGTATATGATATTATAAGTTCAAATGTTAATGTCGCCACTCGCCATTGTAACAAAAACAAATGAAAAGCTGTCTTTATTAATGATGATTTACTAAGTAAAATGGAACTTTCGGGCAATGGCTCTGGTTCATTTTAAAAGGGAGGCAAGGCAAGGTTGATTGCGTTGGCTTCATAAAAATTGAATCAAAGTATAATGCACACCAACACACCACAATTTATCCAGAAGAATGGAATTTCTTTATATTAACTCAAAGAAAGGAAAGTACGAAAAATAAAGAAAAGGATTATAATGAGGTCACGGCACACCCCAAGAGATCCTACACATAGAAATTGGTTTAGTACAATTATAGAGGTACTAACCTCTCCCAATCCAAGTCCCAATTTCTCAATCTATCTTTACCTTACGCACTCTACCCATTATATCCATCAATTGGTGTCTGGTGCCACCATAGCAATATTCCCACTTATAACAGAATGCCCACTTAACGGATATTTGTAATATTCCCATTTGCAGCTGAGTCACCACTCACCACCCATGTTTAATCCCCTATGGCACTTTCTATTATAGACCCTTAGGGGAGTCTTATCAATACTCCCCCCAAGACATTACCTTGTCTTCAATGTGAAAATCAGGAAATTGGACATCAAGTTGAGCTGAATCCTCCCATGTGTTCTCAAAAAGAGGCAAATGAAGCCATTTAATCAAAACCTCTGTACGCCCCATTGAATTTTTACCCCATCGCAAGACGTCTTCCGGCTACACCTAGAGCTCCCAATATTATGCTAACATGTAAGGTAAAGATTGCACAACAGTGGTAGGGAGATGCCTTTCTTTAAAAGAGAAACATGGAATATATTATGAACTTTGCAATCTTCGGGTAAAATCAATTTGTAAGCAGCAGCACCAATCCTAGAAGCAATTTCATAAGGGCCATAAAAGCATGGGCTAAGCTTTTCATTATGTTTTAGCCAACAAGAGAAGTCTATAACGCTGAATCTTGAGATAAATCATGTCTCCTACATGAAATTCAACATCTCGTTTATGTTGATTACATTGTATCTTCATTCGATTTTGTACAAGTGCAAGTTGTTGCTACAACTCATGTTGATGAATGTTAAAATACATGTTAGATGGCTTAATTCATGGATTAAAGGAAAATTAGAAGTAATTTTATGAATGGTAACTTAGTCATTTGCTATTAAAAGTGTTAACCAAAGGTCAAACCACTTAATATAACCAAACCACCTCATTTTTCCCTCACGCTTGTCTCATTCCTTCTTCCTGGGACTGCTTGGTCGAACCCCTCCATCGAAGAAAGCTTCAAAAACCAACTTCTTGATTAAGCCATCAAAACACAAAGTGTTTGTCACAAGACTTGTTCATCTTTCTCCAACTAACATAATGCTCCAACCATTTAGCATTGAGAAGCATTGAGTGGGAAGGAACCCATCCCAAAGTATAGCGCTCTTTTTGAATAACCTTGGAGGAGGAGAGCTTTGCTTTCACTCTTGCTTGGGAAGTCTTCCATTGATACTTATTAGGCATTTCTTGGTAAGAAACTCAACTTTTCCTTAGCTTTTATGATGATTCCAATAACTAAGGTTCTTGAGTAAATAGTAAACAACATGAGTTATGACTTGAATTTGGCTTGGGTTGTTTTGGAAGAAATGATAAGGAAGTGTATTTAATGGGGGGGGGGACCATGAAACCACCATTTGATGCATTTTCAAAAATTGGTCAAGAATAAAGTAAAGGACTTTCATGGTTGGAGGTGTTGTGGTGAAAACGAAGATAGATGCCTTCACAAAATATGTTAGGAGATATTCTTGATAGAAGAAAAACATTAAAAACCTCATTAGAAACACTTTTGAAATTTAGCTTATGTACAAAGTGTAGGTTTCTTGTGTTTTGAGTCTTGAGAATGAATATTGGTGATGATTATTGTTGTTTGATGTGATAGTGGTGAACCAAGAAAGGTTGTGATGGGAGAGCATCTATTGGAGCAACCAAGTGACCAAAACTTGGATTCTTGAATCATCAAGATCGGGTAAGTCACTAAACCTAAGACTTCGATAGAAAATTGGAAGTCTTGGCTTGTTGAATATATTATGATATATGTGTGCAATTGATTGATGTATACCTTGAATAGATTGCATTGGTGAAATTACCTAGTGTGGATAAGTCATTTGGGCTTTAAGCCTTGAATTGTCAAATGTAGGGTGAATATTCAAAAAACATGTTTTTGGAGATACTCAAGCTTTGACTTAATAACTTAATAATATGTATGATTGTATATGTTGATAAATGGATTGCATCCTTTAAATAGGTAACTTTTGGTATTGAGAGATTGTGAATTGGACTAACTAAGTTAGATAAGGAAAGTGCTATAGCATATTGCTTCAAGAGATAAACCTTTGTTTCTTGGGCTTTTATCCCTCTTGGTTGTTTTACCATGGCCTAGTGGGGCTATGGTTATGTGTTTGGATGATTATTGGTATGTTAGTTGTATGATATAATTGCATTCATATACAGTTGTTATAACACCTAATATTTCTAAAACGTATAATTATATATAAAAATGTGGATTAAAGGGTAGAATTAAGGAAAATCCTAAATTTAGAACCAAAATACGTAAAAAGGATAAAATAGTAAATTGTCAAACACGTAACCCTAGGAAAGGAAAAATTGAGTAGAATGTCTCAAATGAAAAAACTAACACTGAAAATGGATTCATAACGAGAAATTGAGTGGTTAGGCAAATTTTTGAAAATTTGATGAATAGTGATTTTACCGGTGTAAAATATGAGCGGTATAATTTTACCGATAAGAGCGAAAATAGATCAGTATTTCTAGGAAGTAAAAATATGATTTGAATGAGAAAAATATGTAGATTATGAATTTGTGGATTAAAATGGATGATTTAAGAAAGTTAAGTGACATGTGGGACCCACTTAAGTGATGTAAGTGATTGAATAGGCAAAGTGAGACACAAAATCTGAAGTTTCCCTATGCTCTTATCTTCTCCACCGCCGGGATCCTTAGCCATTGAAGAGGCTTTGGACTTTTTGAATTTTCATCTCTTTTTTTAGACACTTTTGAGAGAAACTTTCAACTACAAAGTTGTTCCCCTTCATCTTGTGAGTGACTTTTATGTAGAGTGCATCTTGTGAGGAGCACTGTGTGAGGATATAATCCCCATTTTCAGCCACGAAAATTTGGGCATTTTGGGGAATTTTGGTGTTTTTTTGGTTTGATCCATTGGTTGGAAATCATCTCCTTGGACCATAGGAAGCTATTGGTGGTAAGCTTTCCAACTTTTAATTGGTTTATGAAGAGATCACAGTTTGGTAAAACCTAAGTGTATGTGTTGGTTGGTTGATGTGGTTGGGGGCATTTAATCAATGTTATTAAACTCGACCCGGTTATTGAACCGGTCGAGGTACTGGGTCATTGGGACACTAGTTGAACCGCATGACCTGGTAAGTATATACAAATTTATAATTTATATTAAAAAATTATAAACATACTCAAATATCCATAAAAAATATACCAGTTCCAAATATTCTAATATGAAAAATAATAAATCACACATTATTATCCAACAAAGGATCAGACAAACATTTAATACTTATCATATCCTTAGACATTTAATATCTATTACAACAATAGCTCTTGTAGCTATCAACAGAAAACAAACAAATCAAATTGCTAGCACATGTTGCTGACCATGTCCTTAAAATTCCTAAAATTAACTTCTAAAGATAAGTCATCTTACCAAGTACATGCTACCTTAATAGAATGAAAAAGCAAGCTACTATATAAGCTTTGGGCGACTTGGGAAGCTAATTCAATGTTTCAATTTCAAGAGTCATTCTTGTTTAGCTTGTGCAACCATTGCAATTGTTTTCCTTTGCACTGTAATTATGCATAAAGATAACCGATAAGGTGTTACATATAAGAATGTGACCCCTACCACTACAATTAAAATTAAATAAAGGAGTTGAAGATTTAGTAAAATTTTAGAAGAGCAAATAAAAGAAAAATATCAAACTCTTAAAACTGTTCTATAAATAAGAAGTGAAGATCGAATAGAAGAGAAAGAGCAGTGCTCGAAGTTCAGACTAATATTAGAAAAGTACAGCTAGAGAGCTCCAAGGGATGAAGCTTAGTGACAAGAAGTGCATTGAAGAATAATAAGAAATTCGTTAAAATGGAATAACTTTTCAGTTCTCATCATTGTTACAGATACTGCAATGGTTGAACCGGTCGGTCTGAGCTGGTCTTAATAACATTGCTTTTAATGATGTTGCTCTTTTGGAATTTAATGCTTAGAATGATAAATAATGATGATTGAAGCATTAAAAATTTAAGGTGATATGTTTAGTAACTTAGGCAAATTTATGATAGAAATTGTCTTAAAAATCATAAATGTGATGGTTGGAAATTAATGGTTGTTGTTGGGATATTAATGAGGATCATTAATGATGGTGAAATCATATTAAAATAGTTGAAAATTCCCGTAGGTTATTGAGGAGGAACCCATCGACCTATAGGAAATTTTGGGGGAAATGATGTGAAGAAATATTGTGTAATCAATGGTTGATGCCTTGGTGCATAAATGGTGGAGTGGTGAGTTAGTTTAATGACTAAAATGAGTGGAATAGTTGAAATAAATGTAAGATATCCTTTAGGCCTAAGTGGATAGGTTTGGGTATTATTGTTGTGAAATTGAATTGCTTGCTATGCGGGTTATTAATTGATCATATTGTATATGGTCTTGTAGATTTCCTCTCACGGATTCCATAGTGGAGGATTAAGCTTGAAGCTTACGTTGGAGAGCTTTCTTGAGGAGCAAGGAAGTGGAGCTTGTGAAGGAGTTACTTGAGGTAATCTCTTGGTACTGGGGTTAGTCCTCGTGTGTGCTCCACCATGCCCCTTGAGGGTTGTGGGTTGAGGTGTATGTTGATAGTATATTATAACATACTCATGCATTTATGTATGTATAGTGGTACATAGGATGTACCATGTCTCTGGCCAGTTGATTGTTGCCTTCAGGCGTTACAGACTTCCACTGGATAGGTCTCCGTGAGGGAGTTCCAGTTGACCTGGGGTCATGGGGTGTCATCCGTTGAGGAGCACTCTAGGAATGTCTCGGGTGTATATGGATGGAAGGGTGCCTTGGTTGATGTTCTGGGAACACTTCCTTGGATGAGAACCCGTAGGCTATATGTCGAGGCCAATAGGCTGTATGTTGCATGGCTTTGGCATCGACCATTCCAGCTTCATCATATATTTTACTCCTTATGCATCCATACTTCACTAAATCCCTTACTTTATCCCTTTTTGGTTGTTATAATATGTTATTGATTTACATCTGAGTGAGTCGTTAGGCGGAGTAATCTCTAGAACCTCTGGGTTACTGAGATATATTCGTATATCTCACCCCGCGTTTGGGGGCATCATTTCAGGTTCTAGTGAGCATGGAGGATCTTCGGGCAAGAGGCCTGTATAGAGGATGAGTTGATCAGGGTGTGCATATGGAAAGCATAGCATTTTGGAGAGTTATAGTTGATGCACATAGCATTGTATCTAGTATTTTGGACTTAGGTTATGAACATATTGCATGTTGATATTGCCATGCTTTTGGTGTTCATGACTAGATTCACGCCTCTTGTGTATATTGGTATCTTGGTGAGCATGGGACTTGTCCATGGCCACACATTATGTTTTGTGGCATTTGAGACTTATTGATGTAAATTGGCCATATGATGTTTAAATGGCAATGAAATGGTGAATCTTGTAATTGATACATTGTACAAGGTGTATGCATGATGGAAGGGCCTATGGCCTACATTTGTAATTGTACAGGTTTTATATTGGGTATTAAAGTGTTAGGAGTGAGATACTTAGTCTCTTTTGAATTCAAAAAGCTGTCAAAATATGATTTCCCAGTAGGGTAATCGATTACCTTCAGTGTGGTAATCGATTACCTGAAGCAAGGGACGCAGATTTCAGCCACTATGAGGTCTGGTAATCGATTACCTTAAGGATGGTAATCGGTTACCTAGTTCAGTAATCGATTACCTTGAGTATGATAATCGATTACCCAAAACAGGGGAGCCAAAATTGAGCTTATGACTTCTACAGTAACATGATGGTAATTGATTATCTTGAGGATGGTAATCGATTACCTCACTGCAAATTTGAAAAAGATGTTATTTTATAACCCGGAGTTGATGGTATTGCTCGGAGGGGTTAAAAAGAATAAGTATTATGCTTCCGCGAGTTTTGCAATTATAATTACGGTGTTGATTTTAATTGATTACAGAAATGATTAATTGTTAACAACAAGGAAGTAATAAAGGAAAAAGTTTACCCGTAATTTAATTAACTCTATTAATGTGATTGTAACTGCGCTTAATACCATATGTAATGTTAACATTACCGGTATGTAACGGGTTATTACAGTTGTTGTGTCATTGTGAGTGCACCATTGGACAAGCACTAGAGGTGGAATGTGTGTGATTTGATTATTTAGTTATTTGGCCAATCGAAACATGGGCTTTCCTTGGGGATTTCATTCATTGAGGGACAACCCTTAGAAGTATTCTACTCTTTGGAGGCATCCCATCGGAGTTAGGATTGTGCTTTTGGAGCATGGGTCCAAGATGGACTAGTTGCATGGATTCGTAGTGGACTAGTTGCATGGATCCATAATCATTTATACATCCTTCTAGTTATATGTTGCTTTTATGCCATATGTACTAAAACCTTTTATGTAGAAAGAGAACTCTTGGGTGAAGAATTACTCCAAGAACCCAGGGTTTACTGAGATTTGTATCTCACTCCTTTTTTGGGACATATTTTAGGTACTCCAGCAACAAGAGATTCCTCACAGGCCAAGAGACCTGTACAGAGCTAGAGGCTCTTAGGCTGGAGGAGCTTTAATGATAATGCATATGTTTTGATGACTATGTATATTTGTTTGGATAACATGATGTTAACTTTCATTTTGAAAAAACTTGTAAAGTTGTAATGTAATAGTTTATATGTGTGTGTGTGTATCTACATAGGATTGGATGGTACATTTTGTAAGCCTATGGTGTAAGGTTATGTGTGTAACATCCCACGTAAAATTAAAATATATATATAGCTATATATGTGAAACTAGGAAGAATATAGATGCCTATGTGAGATTCGAATTTTATGAGGATACATGTATGATTTTCGCACTACATAGCTATTTTCCATTAAGGGAAATTAAATTGGTTAGGAAGTTGGTTGAATTGCAATGTTGTAAGTACTTTAGGCATATGAAACTTTAATTATTAAAGTAAGGGAATGTATTAACTGTAGTATATCAAAGAAAAGAAAACATGATATTAAATAAGATCTATGTGAACCGAAAATGTTATTGGATTAGTGTCTAAGTAGTATTTTGGGTTGTACATTTTGGTCCTAGCATTGTGTTGGCCGAAGCCTTAGGACCTTAGAAAGAACTCTAGGTGCAGCCCAAGCCCATTGTCTATTATCCCTACAAATATCCTAAGTAATTCCCACTAATCAGCCTTTGTTTGGTAGTGTTCACACTTGGCAAAATTACACCCTTATCTTCCTACACATGTGCGCATAAGTTGGTCACAAATTCTGATGTTTAAATTGAGATTTTAATCTCACAAGTCAGCCCTAAATGTTTGACCTCATCACTTTATCCTAAGAATCCTTAGAAGGCAACTCACCATTGGATAAAGACCTACACATGGCCAAAACCCCTCTTATTTCCTCTCCTTTTTGTACGCATAGAACTTAGAAACAAGGTTGAACCTTTGCTTGTCTTTATCCAAGAGAAGTCAGCATCACTCTCATCTTTCTCCCTTTTCACATGCGTTGGGTTAGACCAAAAAGAGAAGGCTGATAACTTGTTGTATCTTCCAAAACCTTTCCATTTTAAATCATGCAACCAATGAGCTGAAAAAGGGCAGCCTGCATATTAACTAGTTGGGCAAAAAAATTCTGCACCCAGCCCCTCACTTTATGCGATTAAAGAGGATGAAAAAGACAAGTGTTTACCTATTCTATTCACTCTATTTTAGGCGTGGAATTTGTAAGAAAGCATCAGAAAATTCTGATTGAAGATAAACCCAACTCAGCCTTGTATGTCCATGAGGTGGCAAGATAAAATCTCTCCATGCAATCCAAGTGTGCCATCTAGTTTCCTTTTGTTTACATGGAACAAACCTTATCCTTATTCCTCTAACTATGTGCGCTAGAATGGGCAAATAGCATCAGAAAAATTCTGATCCAATTTCACTTTTTAAAAGTCTCAAGTCAAACACTCTATCTCTCCTCACATGCGCTTAGAAGGAAAATAAAGAGCTGACATTGCTTGCTGAAATCTCCATCACTTTTCAGCCTTATTTCACCAAAATGTCCAACATTAGTCATACAACCAATGAAGGGGCTAAAGGTCAGAGTGCATGAAATGTTATTGGTCAACAAGTCACCATCTTATCTCACCTTTCCGTGTGCGACTAATGGAGAAGGAGATAGTATAATTTCTGGTCTTGTGTACTTTAAAACAACATTTAAACTCTCAATCTTTCACCCTCCAAACGTTAAATAGAGAGCCAAGAGTGATCTTGTTAAAACACTTCCTAGCCGTGACCATCAAAGAAGGAAGAACCAAATTCAAACTCATTCCATTTGTTTTCTTACCCAAACCGTGGCACCACCATAGAAGGAACATCAAGTTATAGCCTAATTTTTCTCTTTCTATTCTCTACATCAAAACCGTAACCTACTCCTCTTATACCCTAAGTTCTAGTCGTTGGTTTCCTCTTTCCCTTTTCTTTTTGAAACCGTGAATTTTGAGTGAGAAGCAAGGACAAAACGTCATCTCTTTTCCATTCCTCTGCTGGCTGAAAGACCCTAGGTGAGTGACTAGCCCTTCCTCTTGTTTCTCCTACTCACACAAGACTCTCATGAGACCTTTTGGTGGTTGCATGCTTAGATCTTATTTTGGAGAAGTCTCTACTTTCATCGTGCGGCATTTAGGCTGAACGAAGGAGCATTGAGTTGCGGAAGCTCTTCCTATTTTATTCTTGTCAAGTTGAGTTGCTAGTTGTGGGCAAAAGAACCGTAAGTCACCTTCCTTCCTTGTGTTTTGTTTTGGTTTAGAACATTTGAGAGGGCTGGACCATACTGTAGTGGTATCTTATTATATTAAACTTAGCATAAATGAAACCTTAAAAAGACAGCATGTTTGGACTCATTTTGAGCGCATCATGTATGATTAGTTAAACTTGAGAATAGATAATCTTGTACTTGGATTTAGGCTAAGAAAAATGTTGTTGTGTAATATGTTTCCTCTCACTGTTTCCCGATGAAATGGATTAGACAGCATGTATATTTATTATCTTGAGAAAATGTTGTTGTATCTTAGTTTTCTGCTCACTGTTTTGTTATAAAACTGCCACTGTTTGCTGAAGAAAAATGTCCATTGTTTTGTACAGAAATACTCACTGTTTTGCTGAAGAAGATGCACACTACTAGGATTTATCACTGTTTATTTTAGAAGGGGGCGGCTGTATTTTATTAAAAATTAAAGTTAGAAATATCCCTATGAAAAGTATAAAAAACCGATTCTGATCTATTGGAAATATTAAAATAATTTCTCACTTTTAAAAATGTATAAAGGTAAATTAGAGTCAAAATAATTTGTAGAAAAGGAACATTATGGCCGAATGTTATAGGGATCTTAAGCTTGGGAATTTGGTTGAATAAATTGAATGTACACTGATTTATTATACTATAAATTAGGTGCGAAAAATCCTTGAGACGTTGGACTGTTTCGTTGTGAATCGGTAAAGTAAGTTTCGCCGTACGAGGTATGTGTAGGCGGTATTACCTAATGTGACTATTGGCTAGTGTATGGAATTGTGATGTGTTGCTCACATTTGTTCTATGTATGTTATGATGATGATGAGCCAATGGTAAGAATATGAAAGGATGATATGATATATGCATGCATTTTACATCATAATACATTTTTCTGTTGGGTGCGATTGCATAACATGGCATGTATACTTGATTCATGACATCTTGAATATATATATATTTGTATTGAGGACATGTGACTGAGCATGCATCATATAGGCATGCCTGGTACCAGGAGAGGGGACACTTGGCTTCAGTCCGCATAGGTTCCACAGTGGGATTCACCTTCATGGGAGCCATTAGGAATACCCACTGTGATGCTACGCGCACGACGGTGCTATGAGCGTAAAGGAAAAATGGCGTTATATACGCGTTATGATATATGATGAAAAGGATTAAATGTTTGAAGTGACTATTTATGATTTTGTGCCTAGTTAATATTGTTGCATTATGGTTTTGTTGCCACACTACTGGGATTTTCTCTCACCCCTTTGGGGCTGCTATTTTTACAAAATGGCAGGAGGACGTAAAAGCTTTTGAGGACTTGGATATTTGTTGTTGGCTTCTACTGTTTGGGCATGCTACTATTGATGTGATATTTTATGGATGACTGTATGAAATTGAGAAGCTTGTATTACTGTGAACTATGATTTTATTATTGCATTACGATTTTATGACCAGCAAGTATTTTGGAAACAGATGTTGAAACGTTTGCGAAAAGGATTTTGACATGTTATCTAAATGCTGAGTTTTGAAAAGTCTTTGCGAGCACTTTGTAAGTTGTCGTACTGGGGCTACAGACCTCCGATTTTCTTATAATTTATATGCACGCGTAGCCCAGGTGTCTAGTTTCATTATATATAAACCTTGCAAAGAAATTCTGAAAGATCGATTTATTATGAATTTTACCAGCCAGAACATTTGGGATATTTCCACTATTCTCTCTCTTATTTTGCGAGTTATGTTTCGAGGGGCAAACGAACTCCAAAGCACTATTATTTTATATGAACGTGAAGCCCCAGATGTATAGTTTCCATATTACAAAGAATATATTTTTGAATCATTGAAATGGATTTTATACGAATTTTTAAAGACAGCAAGGTCTATCAGGAAATTTATATTTTTAATAAGTTTAAGAAATTTTGTGTACTCTGATTTAATTGGCAATGTAAAAGCGAAATTTTTTTCAGCCTCTAAAATACTATTAAAGAACTCTAATTCCGCTTAGCAAACAACTCTCTTGGAGGCCTACAAGAGAGGGTGTTACAATGTGTATCTCATTTATGTCTTGGTATGTAATTATGAGACATGTTGATGTAATTTTTTTATGTTCATGTGTCGGATTGGTAAATCCTATGATAATTGCATAAATGTTGATGAAAATTATGTAGTGGATGTAGATTGTTGGCATTGAGCCTTATATAGAAAATCCATGTATGGATTCTATGTGTAATCTAGTGGATAGGTTGAATTAGCCTGAAACTGTATACGTTGTTAATCAGGTATTTTATTAGATTATGAAAATCCCAAATCCACATAATGCAGTCAGATGCTGTCCATTTTATTTTAACCGAGGTGGTACGTGATTATCATACTTAGGTAATTGATTACCATTGCTTATGGTTTTGTGGGTCTCAAGTGTTAGAGATTTAAGATATAGGAGAGCATGATAATTTGAATAGTCATGAAATAAACATAGCTACAGCAATACATAAGGAAAGGAAAAGGTTAATTCTCATTTTACCGAAGTGTAATTAAGTCATTTATATATGTAACTTCTGCTTAATTTATTATTTATGTTGAGCTTAATATCATATTGTGATATTAATACACCGGGTGCATACAGAGTGTTACAATTCTAACCCCAAGATAACATCTGCCCCTCTTATAACATATCCTCACAAGTCTGTAATCCTTGAATCTGAATTTCTGCTTGACGACACACACCAATGACTTCCCACCTTGTATTCATCACCCACCTCCATCTTAAAGTGGGGCGTGTCTTCGACCTTTGAACCCACTCTCTACCACCAAACAACTCACGAAATTAGACATCGCATCATTGCCAACTAATTATCACTCGTTTGCCTTTGATTTTGCCCCACATCCTCATACTTTGTGTAACGACCCGAATTTAAAATAAATTAAAACAATGGAGTCGCCACTAACTTTATTTACTTTGGAAAAATTGGAAAATCTTTTATTGCAAACTGGTCTTTAAAATTATAGATCAAAGGTTCGGGAGTCTAATTATGCGCAGGGAAGGGTGGAAACTTAATCTGACTGCACCCGTAACACATCTGTTTAAAAACGGTTACCTTAAATTAATTGTGCAAATTATTAATTGCTTTTAAAATTATTTGTTTTATCCCTTAAAATAAATATGATTATTTAAGAAGAATGAAGACTAAAATATTAAGATTTTATTTTAGCTTGACGGAAAGAGTTCCGCTCCGACGTATCCTCTGGTACAGTGAGGAATTCAAAGCTACGTCGTTCTTTAAAACAATATTTGTATGTTTATTGATTTAACTTTGAAAAATTCATTTGATTATATTCGATGTTCCCAAATTACCAGGTTGTCTCAACCAAAATGATCCGAACAAGATGTAGGATTAACAAGCTGTCTCAACTCAGCTAATCCATATGTAATAATTTTAATATTATAATTTTATTACGAGTCATGGATCACCAAGCTGTCGCAGCCAAAATGATCTAAAACAAAAAAAAATTTCGGGATAACAAGCCGTCATGATTCAGTTGACTCCCATTTTAGTTAATAGTAAACTAATCTTCTTTATTCTTTATATTCTAAATTAATCCAAAATTAATAACTTTAAATAAAAATTATGATCGTTTGTTTATTATTACTAAAATATTTTAAAATCATCAGACTGTAACAATCAAAATGATTCTATGATTAACAGAATTAACAAGCTCTCACAACTCAGCTAATTCTTCTTTTAATAACAAATATATCTCATGATTTGTTTTCATGACCAATTACACGCTGCCCTTCTATGCGCTATCCATGGTGCTACCGTGGAAAATACGTTATTTGAAGACGGCGATGGCGCAAATACATTCCGTGCTTTTAACCCAACGCAAGCCGAAGAAACTTATTCAATGGTCACCGCTAACCGCTTTTGGTCTCAAATCTTTGGGGTTGCTTTTTCCAATAAACGTTGGTTACATTTCTTTATGTTATTTGTACCAGTAACTGGTTTATGGATGAGTGCTCTTGGAGTAGTCGGCCTGGCCCTAAACCTACGTGCCTATGACTTCGTTTCTCAAGAAATCCGCGCAGCGGAAGATCCAGAATTTGAGACTTTCTACACAAAAAATATTCTCTTAAACGAAGGTATTCGTGCGTGGATGGCAGCCTCATGAAAACCTTATATTCCCTGAGGAGGTTCTACCACGTGGAAACGCTCTTTAATGGAACTTTAGCTTTAACTGGTCGTGACCAAGAAACTAAACGACTTATCAATTTATCTGATAAACTACTAGGGGCCCATGTAGCCCATGCCGAATTAATAGTATTCTGGGCCGGGGCAATGAACCTATTTGAAGTGGCTCATTTCGTACCCGAGAAGCCCATGTATGTACAGGGCAGTTGAAATCAAGCGGTGGTAAACTGATATGAATGTGGTTCAACTTGTTTCTGCTACATTTAGACTAACCTGCAGAATATATGCTTAAAGTACACAATTAATCCAAGAAAATCACTTCAACCTTCATCCACCACCATATTATTTCAGACTTCCAAATCTGCCACGGTGACATGAATTCCAACAAGAACATAGGCAGTAGCGATATTTTACTGTAGCACAACCTTCGCTAGTAGAAATATGGATTGCCAACGTGAAAAGGAAGACATTAGAACCATCAACAATGGAAGAAATACCATGGAAGGTTCACTTATAAAGTCACTCCTGTCTTTGTTACTCTATATTCTCTAGTTAATATGGCTGGGTATTTTTCTCTCTCGCTTCTCAGAAATATTCTCTTTTCTCGTAACCTCAAGAAACAGCTTAGCAAAAAAAAAAAAAAAAAACTCCCCTTTTTTTCGTTTGATCTCTGTTTTTAAACTTCTTCCATGCTCCCCTAAAAACCAGTGTTCCTCCCTTTGTTCTGCATCTTTTCGTTAGCTTTATAGGATAAAAAAAAGGAACCAAACTTTATTACATTGTCTGAGAGGTAAAAAGGAGGAGCCTTGCTGAATTGAGCATAGGTCTTCTCCAAACTCCATTTTAGTGCACTGATCCTCTACTTCTATTTATCCATCTCTGAACCGTTTGTTGGGTTTGTTCTTTTACTAAAGCCCAAATGGGTTATTAGTATGAGAAGAGCTCAAGAAACCTAGAGCTAGGATTTCTTGGAACCATATAAATAGTATCACTTAAGTTATCAGCTTCCTGAAGTCTTTAGTAAGAAAGAGGCAAGCTCAGATCTGATTAGTGCCCACACACTTCCCCTTCCTCCTCGAGAGTTAGCTTGGAAGGTTTACCTCAACAGTTCGTGATTTCGTGCTGTGACGCAAAGGAATGATAAAACCATGATGATCCATATACATCCAAGCGTGAGGAACAACATCATCTCACATCTGCGCCATTAAAGAGGTAAATGATAAAACCATGATGATTCATATACATCCAAATCACAATGGTCTCATACGCTTCCGCAAATGCAATTGCTCCTACAATTGGTATCAGAGCCGGATTGTGTTTTTTGGATGTGGATCTAGTTTTAATTTTAGGTTTATCATGTAATTTGTTTTGCTTCGTAAAATATGGCACCTAGGATTCTATATTTGTTATTCAAATATTTGCATGAGTATTCTTTTCATTAAAAATCTATTCTTTATATGGTTTTGGCTTTAATCCATGGTAGAAATTTCGTATTTTCTTGGGTTGTAACAAGGAGGCTAATCCCATATGATTAG